TCGGCCACTTCTTTCATCTTTTCTGTAAGACAGGTCTACAAATCCAGCTTTCCCATGTTTTGTTCTCACCTATTGAGTTCCAGCTCTGAGAGGAAGAGTACGGAGATGGGCTTTAGGGCAGAGAAGAGACTACTTGTAATAAAGAATATCGACATGCCATTTCAGCATCACAAATGAGAGTTTCCTGCGAGATGCACTCTTTTCTACATAAGAAGTCAATTCAGGTATATACCTTGGTAAAGCAGAAAAAGGCCTGACATGAAAACCATAAAAACAAATGGCAATTTCTCTCTCAATCCTGGAGTCTCCAAAGGATGCTGATCACCTAAGCAATGCAGTAGTAACTGAGATCACAGCCTCAACAGATCCCTGAATGCCCACTGTCATTGCATCCGCCATGAGAAAGCTGCAATATCCTGGCCCATTGATTGAATCCTTACATCCTATTTGTAAAGACCTTAACACGTCAGCCAGTTCATTCATCTTGGCAACCCCCAAAGCTGTTTATCCTTAACACTATAGCGCAAAGCAGCAACACATCATAGCACTACGCCACTTATAGAGGCGAGTGTAACTTTTGTAGTTACAAAGTACTGACCTACCATTTCACCTTCAGAATACAAAATGTTCTCTTTCTAATTAGTGACTTGAGAAAAATATTTTAGTCACCAAGAGTATAAAAATACTCCATATACTTCTGTTCTTAGCTGCGTGGGTTTTGTACAATGGCCTCTTGGCATTAGCTAGAATCTAGAGCCCAAATACTCAGTGGAAATCCCTCCCAATGTAGCAATTAGTATCATTCATTTACTTGACCTACATTCTAAATGTGTCTAGACAGAATTCACTGCTGATAGTTTGGGGGGATGGGAGCGCAGAGGTGGGTTGTATTTTTAACAGGGAAAAAAAAAAACCCAAAGAAGAAAAGTTTTTATATTCATTTTCAGCTCTACATTAGAAAAATGAAGAATACATTGAGACACATTGTTACACAGAGAGATACGGAAGAGGTCCCCTGCCAGTATAAATCAGACCTGCAGCCTCCAAAGGCGGTGAAGGAAAAGCGTGCTGCGTTGTATCAGCTGGGATCTGGCCTAAGAACCTCAGCCTAATCCATTATTAGTCTGTGCTGCTGAAAAATATTGAATGGTACAGCTGAAATAAGAGAAATGCAGCAAAGAACTATAAATAGCCTGGGGAAAAAAAAAAAAACAAAACACCAACAACATTATCTACACACTGGTAACAAGGTTAGAACTGTCACATGCCCTGTGCTTGATACTTTTCAAATATATATATATATATATATATATATATATATATATATAAAATAATGCCCTACATTCCTTCGTAGCTTACCTCCCTAGAAGCAAAGACCCGACAGATCTAGACATGCTTTAAAGCTATGGGCCAAAAGGTAAGTTTACTAGTGTGTATAAAATTGTGCTGACAAGCAGCATAATGTTACAGCTGAAGACTCTAAGGATCACTTAAGTTCTCTCGTGGAAATGGAAATTAAGTAGCACATAAGGCCTTCGCCTGCCCTGTCCATACACACACATTCCACAGCATCAAGTCACTGATGGCTGGAAAAAAAGTATACTGGCAGAGGGCTAAGACCTCAAGTAATATAGCTGAGCTAATTAAAAGCACTTATACTGGCATCCTCCCTGAATACGCCTTACTACTCCTTCCCTGTGCCCTTAACGCAGAGCACACACAGCTGCCTCTCCACGTGGTCCGCAGTGCATCAACATTCACACTTGGGTCACCCCCGGACTGCTGCAGCTGGCAGTGCAATGGCACGTGTCCTGCCTCCTCTGTCCCCCTGCTAGGTAAGGAACACGGGCATGAACTGCCTCTGGAGATAGCGAGGTCCTTGTCGCATAACAGCCTGTGGGCAGGTGATGACAGGAGATTCTTGGCCTCTGGTATCTAGCAAAGAAACCTGTAAGGCCCCTGAAGAAAAACGATCACAAACATACCAAAGTAAAGCAAAGGTTTTCCTTATTATAAAGAAGTAATATTTAATATAATAAATCCCCAAGCAATGTGTGTGCCAAGTCAAGAGATTCCCCAAAAGAGTACCTAAAAATAACTTAAAAGATTACACAAATTAAGATTATAGAAATAGAGTATCAAACAGCTACAAGAAAATTGGTATTGTCATACTGGCTTGGGTGAATTAGTTCAGAGGCCTGACCCAGACTGTGGCCAGTCTAAAACGCTCCAGATGAAAACATGACTATCGTCCAATCAGATTTGAACTGACATGCCCAAATTAAGCAAACAAAATGGCAAAGCTTTAATGGTGACTAGTGCAGTAGGTTTTGAAGAGAGGGGGTTGTTTGGGTTTTGCAAAATCGTCTGTCCTTTAAGTATTGAGAAATAATTCAATTTTGGTTTTAATACAGTGAAGTCAGCTGTATCTGCAATGGCAGGTGATCCATTTAACTGATAATGGGCATGAGCTCAGGCAGAGCGGCCTCCTACTTATGGACAGTGCAAACTGCAAGCTTAATAAGAGCAGTGTTGTGCTTGACAGCTTGGGGCCTCTTTTGCAGAAGACTTAACCTTTCAGTTGCCCTCAGAGGCGGCAAACCATGGGTGCTCTGGAAAAAAAAGACCATTTAAGGAATTTTCTAAGCTATGACCTTCCCCACTTACACTCATCAGCCGTACAGTAGTGGAAGGGTCAGTCCCAGCCTTCTGTCACTTTGCTGACCTCATGTGGCTAAGCAATGCAGCCATCCCTTCTGGCACCCTCAGTGGCACCCACCAGTGTTCACTATTAACGTGAAGCCTTAAATCATTGCTCAAAAAAACCCCATATAAAAGTCGTTGGTGGATACTGGAATGATGCAGAGGACCCAGCAGGATCACTGTAAAGGGAA